CCCCCCCCCCCCCCAATCACACACACATGCACACACACAGGGTTGTAGAATAGAATGTTCTCTATTTTTTTTTTAGTTTTCTATTAAAAAAAAAAAATTGTCAAAATTAGAAAAACAAAAATGGGCATGTAGGGTTTTTCAAAAACCACACGCCCATTTTTTTTTTTTCATCCATTAAAAAAAGTAAGAAAGAAAAAAAAACAACCCTGACTCCAATTTTTATTTTTTTTGTTCAACGGCATAGGGTGCCATTGGGTGCAGTTCCAAATGACATCCGATAGAACTGTCTGGTGGCTATATGTATATGGGGCCTGTAGTTCATTGTCTGGGCCTGGCGTCCAAAGTTCCCGTTCGACAAGGTTCGTCCGATTCCGCTTCCACCAGGGCTGGGAAATCTATCAGCCCTGGTGCCTATCACTGCTGTTCGGTCCAAGTTGCCTGCCCGTTGGTAGGGCAATGGTCCTGAGTGCGGGTCACACTGAGGTAGAACTGTGGGATAGGGGGTGCGCCAGGAGTATTGAGGTTTTGGATGGGTTGGGAGGTGGTCTCATATTCCAGGACACTCACGGCTCACAGTTCCAGGTGATCACTGTGCACACACTAACTGACCTCTACAACACCCTGGAGCATGGTCCCACTAGCAACGAGATAGGATAGAAAAGAGTTTGTGTGGCAGTTGAGTGACCCAAATTCTGCCGTGCAGTATGCGTGATCCCACGGTCAGTATTTTACATGTATTACCCGAAAAAGTAAGGAGATCTTGGTTCCCAGGCTTGGTGCAAAGGAAGCTTCCCGCCAAAATCTTTTCAATCCGTTGGGGGTATGGCCAACCCCAAAAGAGAGTGGGGTCGGCCATAGGCCCACTGGATAGAAGATTTTCGGTAGTTTGCTTGCTGTTGTGCAATTATCTCATTGGGCGGAGCCCTCCTTCAATCACGGAGTGTATGGAGGGCGCCAGGATCACTGCTGACAGAAGTTGATTTTATTCCAGAAAATGTGGCAGTTACTTTGTTCACTGTTGTTGCAACCACCAGCATCAGATCATTTGTGATCTGATGGCTGGGAAGCACTCTGCCGTAATTTCAGGTGGGAGGTCTCTGTTTCTTTTTAGGCTGACGAGGCCATCCTTACATCCTCATATGTTTACTCTGGCTGATAGTGGCTATAACTGTTGTAAATGGGATGCTGGTCCCGATTTCAGCAGGTGAAGCTCCCCCACCAATAGACTGGAGTCCTTGCCCTCAGTCACTACTCGGAGATGCTCTTATCACTCCCAGCAGTGCCCGGAATGCAAGTTTTTTTCAAAAAGAAAAAAAAATAATTTTTTTTTGTTTGGGCTGAGAGGCCGAAGGGAGGTTAGGGGAGGGCGCCCGGGCGGGGTTTGAACCTCAGAGAGAGACGTTTTGAGAGTCAGACTGGCTACTACGTACCATAAACAGCAGTTCCTATGAACGGGCTTCCAGGTATGATAACGCCATTCATCGTGATGTGCACGTTGTAATACCCCTCTGAATTCGGTCGGTACGCCGCAGAGTGTGCAGATGGGCCAAGTGGTTGAAATTGCTGAACCTCTGCGATGCCTCCTGTGGTACTAGCGACCGCAAGCTGTAGATTCACCTGCTGTTCACTCGGTTCGGTCTCTGTAAATGCTCCAGGGGGATACTCTTCTGCAGGGAGGAGCTCATTGCCATATGCATCACGGACAAGGAACTTGACCTCGTTCCATGCTTCAGGTTTGACATGGCGGGATATACCTACACCAGTGACTTTGCTCATCTGAGGACTCGCTGGCCCTGAAGTCAGAAAGAAAGAAAGAAGGGAGGGTAAGGGAAAAAAAGGAACATACCAAGTCAGATGTTTCCCATATTCATTTGGCACAGCCTGCCTCCTCGTGCCCTCCCTCCCTCCTTCCCTCCTCTAGACATAAAGAAACAGAATAATATACGTTCGCTTTTCAAGTTTTCAGTGCATTCCCAGATCCAACATCAAATGCATGGAACCCAATGCCAAATGGACGTATCACTGAAAAAATCCAGAACGATCGTCAATCGTCACTCATCGACAGGAATGACAGCTCAATGGCTCAGCACTATTAGGAATGACAGGTCCATGGGTCGCTGCTTTTATTATTGAAAAGCAATGAAGAGAATGAGGAAAAGGAGGTGAAAGAGGAGGACAAGGAGGAGGAGGAGGAGGAGGAGGAGGAGGAGGAGGAGGAAGAGGAGGAGGAGGAGGAGGAGGAGGTGGTGAGTGTCACATACCTGTTGTCATAAAGGCATGTCGCAGACCCAAGGATCTGCAGAGTGGAGAGCAACAACAATACAATGCAGCTGAAGCCTGAAATCAACGGGTCTTACTCATGAAAGACGGCACTCAGACAATGCACACATAAAAATGAGATGGCAAGGTGGGTGACATAGATAGAATAAAGGCTCTTCCTTGCTCGTGCACAATCACAGGAAGAAACCGTGGAGGTGAGGGGAATGGAGAGGATGAAGAAGAACAAGAGGAAGACAATGAAGAAGACAAGGAGAAGGCCAAGATATAACAAGCCGAAATGATAATAATATCCCCTCCAATCACCTCCCAAATACAATCCTGGAGTCCGAACTGGGAGAAGCCTCCCCATAGATACTCTCTCTCTCTCTCTCTCTCTCTCTCTCTCTCTCTCTCTCTCTCTCTCTCTCTCTCTCTCTCTCTCTCTCTCTCTC